TAGGGGTGTCTATGTTCTTGATTCCCCATGTGAATTATTATTATATCTTATATTCATGGGTCTCAGAAAAATACGTAGTTGATAGAGTTTATCCGAAAGGCATATTGATTTTATGACATTCCGAGAAATCTTATTAACGTATTTCTTATGCATTTCATGCATTTATATATGTACATTGACCTATGACCAGATGGTGTTATATACGCGTATATTATATGTATATGGGATATGGAAAAATATTATGGCGTTATATACGCACCACCACCTGATTAGCTGGTATACGTTGATGATTTTGCCCACAGTGGCCGAGATGATATGATGGGATGCCCTCAAAGGCTTGATGATGTTATGAACACATATACCTATGCATGGTATGACATTTATACACATATGCATGACATTATAATATTAAATGATTCACAGAGCTATTCAGGCATACATGTTGAGTCTTTTATTCCATGTTTCTCTTATGTCTATTATTTATTGATTTTTATTCCTTACATACTCGGTACATTATTTGTAATGACGTCCCTTTTGCCTGGGGACGCTGTGTTTCATGCCTGCAGGTCCCGATAGATAGGTCGAGAGTCCTCCAAGTAGGCTATCGGCTCAACGGAAGATGTTGGTGCACTTCATTTGCTCCGAAGTTGCTTATTTGGTTAGTATGATTTGGACGTGTATTGTTTAGTATGGAGGGGCCATGTCCCAACCTTTATGGCATTTATCTACTCTTAGAGGCTTGTAGACATATGTCATGTACGTAAAAGATTGTATGGCCTTGTCGGCCTATGTTCAGTGTACGAGTGGTCATTTTGGTCTTATAGGCCCATATGTCTTATGTATAAGTTGGTATTACATGTTTTATTCTAGTTATCCCACGGCAACCCTTCCGTCTCATTTACCTATGATAGCATGATACGAAAAGATACGTTATGTTGGTACTCGATTGAGTAAGGCACCGGGTGCCCGTCGCGGCCCATCGATTTGGGTCGTGACAGGTACGATGGGGCCCAGTCCCGTCCTTTGTACAGTTGTACACTCTATTAGAGGTCTATAGACAGTCATGTATAGTTGGATAGTATGTGGCCTTGTCAGCTTCTAGTTTTGGATATATAATTGTCTATAGCAGTCTTGTCGGCTCGCCCTACCGTATTCCGTATGTATATGTATATATATCTTTTGGACATGTTTTTCTCACGTATGTTATTCATGTGATTCGGCAGTTTATTGACAGATGTTATTCATGACCTACCCTTAATTCATATTTATATCTTAGACGCATGCTTAGAGGTGTTCGACAGGTAGGACTCGCGCATTCGTCATAGCCCATCGGTTTGGGTTGTGACACAAATGAAGTGGAGTCTTACTGATCTTTCGCTGAATGCTAACCTCGTCTACTATGATGGCTCGTTAAACTGATTTCCTACACCTGCATGCATTAATACAACGTCCATAACAAAAAGGATGTCAGTACGAATAATGTACCGAGTATGTAAGGTAGACTTGAAATATAACAATAAGTCAATATTAATGAATGAGATATAAGAATCAACCTGAACCTTTGAAGTGCCACCGTATATGCATACTAATTATACCTACATATATAATGCCTCTTTGGGACTATTATCTATATCGTAACATGACTGCTCAACTGATCAGTGGTAACTGCCCGACCGGCCATAGCTCAGTGGTAAATGTATTACTGCCCAACTGGTGGTAACTGCCCGACCAACCGTAGCACGGTGGTAAATGCATGACTGCCCGACCGGCGGTAGTACGGTGGTAAATACGTAACTGCCCAACCGGCCATAGCTCGGTGGTAGATGCATGACCGCCTGACCGGCCATAGCTCAGTGGTAAATGCATGACTGCCCGACCGACCGTAGCACGGTGGTAAATGCATGACTGCCCGACCGACCGTAGCACGGTGATAAATGCGTAACTGCCCAACCAACCGTAGCTTGGTGGTAAATGCATGACTACTCGATCGGCCGCAGCTTGGTGGTAAATGCATGACTGCCCGACCAGCCATAGCACGGTGGTAAATGCATGACTGCCCAATCGGCCGTAGCACGGTGGTAAATGCGTAACTGCCCAATCGGTCGTAACTCGATGGTAAATGCATGACTGCCCGACCGCCCGTAGCTCGGTGGTAAATGCATGACTGCCCGATCAGCCGTAGCTCGGTGGTAAATAAAGATGCATGACTGCCCGACCGGCCGTAGCTCAGTGGTAAATGAAGATGCATATAACACTACATTATGAACATTAACATCTTTATCGTATGCCTCAATTGATACTTAGGAACATACTTAGACATGCTTGAATATCATTTTACATGAATGAATAGTGTAGACATCCTTAACTACTAAGAGTAGAAGCATTTATGGAATAACATTACGTTTATATTTCGTTACGTGGATCATGCCAAATGAAGGAAGGATTAGCCTTAACATACCTTGAGTCTGTCCTTAGCAACTTAAAGTAAATCCTCTTCTTTTAACAACCATGACCAATTCTTGCACTATGCGATCGCTCAAGGATGGTTTCTTTTTTAGAGCGCTTCTCCCCTTTCTTTCTTTCTTTCTTTTTTCTTTTTCGTGAAAATAGACTCTCCTTAGCAAAACGAAGTTGGTTGAGTTCTACTTTCTCCTAACCGGTGGTGAAATTCCCAAATCCCCTCACCTTTTCATTCTTGCCTTTCCCCTTTCTACAACTCCCCCAAATAAATTCATGATATGGATTGAAAATAAAGTATAAGGGACCCCATCCCTATGTGTTTGTCATGTGCATATATGCCGGTGATAATTCATGAATTGTCACCGAAGGAGAACTAAGAATATTTGCCATGTGTCACCTAACAAAAGATAAACAAAATATGTTTGCTACGTGTCAACAAGGATAAAGGAAAATGTAGTCAACTAAAAAGGGATGAACACGAATCTTTTCTAGGTGTCAACATTTCTATTAGTTCCCTTTTTTATTTTTCAATTCTTTTCTCTATATGGCTGGACTTAAATATATCCATTAAAATATAAATAAATCATGGGTATCTTATAAAATTAATACACACACTAATATTTCATAAAAATATTTACGGAAAAATACATACTTTATCAAATTCAAAAAAAAATCCACTTTAACCTCAAGAGTACATTTTTTTTTGTACTATAAATTCTCAAAACGGAAAAAGAATAACGTTTCTTATGATAAAATACTATCTACTCTTATAATAAATAAAACCTCATTTATAAACTCCTACATGTCATGTATATAACTTAAAACTTATCACAACCATATAAAATCATATTTATCAACTTTTACCAAAAATGGTTTACTTCAAAGAAAATACATATCAAGCCAATATATAGAAGTTCCAAAATTCGTCAAACTTACGGGGTCTTACGTCCATATCTTTATGTATAACCTTAATACCTTCCAACTCATGTGTTATTACTTTGATGAATCCTAACGTTAAGGTACGGGATGTTACACATGATATTTTTAATGATTAAATGTATTATTTTATTTACCTTTTTTCTCTTAGTTGATATATGATTTTGGACAAAGATTTTGTCAACAGTCAGGTGAGTTTAGAACGTTTTCATTGAGTACTTCAATTAAGAATATTACAGTCTATGACTCTATGAACTAGTTAATATTCAACCCGAATAAACCAAAATTACCGAACCAAATAAACTGAAACCGGAAGGAAAAAAGCCGAACTCGACAAGAGTTATTAATTTTCTTTTACGAAAAGTTTTTTTTGTATGGAAGTCATTTTCGATAAAAATTAGAAAAATAACTTTCTTCACTTATTGGAGGATTTTTTACAACATTTAACTTTGAACATATTATTAATCTCGACTGCTCAAAAGTTTCATTTCAATGGTCTCTAATTTACTAATATTATTAATATTTATTATATTTATATGTATTTTTTACTCGCCAATCAAATATTTGGAATTATTTTTTATAAAATATTTTCTAGGAATACACATTTTTCATGGAAAATGACTTCCACATACTAAGCACACAATAAATAAAATTTATACTTTATATCAATTACTAACTCATCAAAAACAATGAAATTAAAATACCTCGTAAATTATTAGGTTTGAATTAAGTGAAAGAAATCAAACAAAAGATATTCATATTTAGTGGCATTAGTTATTACGTTTTACTTTCAAATTATCTAATTCTCAAAATTTCATTTTTTCCACATTGGGTACCCAAAAATCTCAAATTATCTTTTATCCACATCTAGAAACAGTATTTCACACTTCTACGGTTCGCTTCTGTCAGCTCCTACCCACGATTGTCTTTTATCCTCTTCGACTCACCTACCCCCGATTGTCAGCTCCTCTTCCTGCAAAAAGAAAGATTTTATCTAAAAAGGTTGCCAATTTTTCCAATTTTTATTACAGATCCGACGACCCAATTTCTCTGCTACAATTTCAAGATTTTCTTTGCTGTAAGTATTTCAGAATGTTGTTAATAAAATTAAGCTGTATGCTATGCGAATCACATTTATTGAAGGTATCAATCAATCAATCAAATTGGGATTGGCTATACAAATCCTTCATATCTATTTTGCTCTGTGGGGATATATGTATTAAATGGTATTGTGAAATTGACAATCTGCTACTGAATTAAAATTGTATGTACTGAGATTTAGGATGAAATTGCATATACGGAGCTGAATTATTTGCCGCTGCCCGAAGGAAAACTGGATTTTTATCTGAAATAAAGTGGGTTTGATTGACTATTCTTTTCAGCATTATATAGTGTGATTATAACAGTAATTATTTGCAAGTATTGGAATGAAAAGGGCAAGAGAGCAGCAAAATGGATATAGAGGGTCATATAGTTAGTTGATCCCAACTAGTATGGGATTGAGACATAGTTGATTATTTACTGGTTGAAGGTGCTAAACTTAAGCATGTAACCCAAAGCTGGCTAAATAATTGAGAAAAGCTTTGAGATATTTCCAGCTATCAATGCTAGAGGAAGTCACTCNAGAAAAGTATGGCAAGGTTAGTTCCCTGACATGTGTATCTGCATGCTTAAGCGAATGCATGTACACAAATTTTCCTATTAATCTGGTAATTACATCGTGGATATTATGAAGATGATTCACAGGCTATGTGCATGCTTTAATGTGTATATGATGTATTTGAATTTTGAAGCTGGTGAAGCAATGTCCTTAATCAGAAATTGTATTTTTTCATGGCTCATGCGGAATTCAAGTATCCAAGTTTATTGTTATTTTCAGGTCCCTGGGTTGGCAGTAGTCATTGTAGGAAATAGGAAGAATTCTCAAAGTTATGTGAATATGAAGAGAAAATCTTGTGCTGAACTTGGCATTCAATCTTTTGACATAGATCTGCCAGAGGATGTAGCTGAAGATAAACTGATTAGCAAGGTCCACGAGCTGAATGCTAATCCTGATGTACATGGTTAGTCATTGGCGATAGTAGGAAGTTAATCTTTCTGGCCTTTTGCTTTGTTATACTTATGTTGTTTGAGTGGGGAAATTTAGCCTTGTTTGTCTGTACTTGGTTTGCACATATTGCAGATGTTAATTTGTCATCCATGCTCCTACTTTTATGTTTGTACACAACCAGGTTATTTTTAGCCAACATTGTCCATGCCTGCGTAGTTAGTCAAGAAGAAAATTTTAAGGTCCTAGCTATTGTAGGCTCAATGCAAAATATTCTGAATGAAATTGCTCTGTTGAACAAACTCAATCGTGTTAATTGTTGGCAACATAGTGGCATCTATAGTAACCAGCCATTTATGCAACCTGCATATTGCTTTATGACGTTGGTACTAAGTGGGTACTACATAATCAGTTAGTATATTAAGTGTATTTGACACATTGTGAAAATCCTCAGATCAGATCGCATATCTAATATGCTGTGTCTGAAAGGTACCACCTATCTAATATCTCATTCCTACACTGACTTCTGTAGTTCTGACTTCAACTTGGCTAGAGCTTACCTGCTAGACACTCCTATACATATAGGTGTCTGCTGCTGCTGCTGCTGCTGCTACTCTATTTACACCGCTTCTTACCATGACTTTTTTCAAGTAGGTTTCACCTTGTAGAATCTCTTATATTCTCACTCAGCAGGTGGGGTTTTTGCGAGTTTTTCCTGACTGCTGCTGAGATGTTTCTTATCTTTTCTATTCTCTTTTTCCTGGAGTTAGCATTTCCACTCTTGGTTTATTGGTAATGCTCAAGTATATTGTTGAGAAGCAAATGTGTGGGGTAGAATATCAAATGACGCATAACAAAGACAAGTGAACTAAAGGCACTCTATGCATTGCTACAGGTATACTGGTACAGCTTCCGTTACCAAAACATATTAATGAAGAGAGAGTTCTAGGTGAAATCAGTCTGGAAAAGGATGTAGATGGCTTTCATCCTCTGAATATTGGCAAGCTTGCAATGAAAGGCAGACAACCCCTGTTCCTCCCTTGCACGCCCAAGGTAATAAAGTGAGACACTTCATTAATTCTGAGAACAACTAATATTTTTGTTATGGAAGATCGAAACATCCAGTTCTCTAATTCTCCTGCCTTGTTTAGGAATTAATGTTCAAATCTATACTATCTATATACAACCATCTGTTGTCTTCTAAAAGCACCCTATCTGGTCTCTGCTAAACAGGGATGCATCGAGCTTTTACATCGGAGTGGGATTAGCATAAAGGGGAAGAATGCAGTTGTGGTTGGTCGAAGTAACATTGTTGGATTACCAGTGTCTCTGTTCCTTCTGAAGGAAAATGCCACTGTTACTATAGTTCACTCGCGCACCGAGGAACCAGAAAAAATCGTTCGTGAAGCAGACATTATTATTGCTGCCGCGGGGCAAGCTATGATGGTAACAAGGAGCATTCATTTCTCCCTTCTCACCCTCCTTTTTGTAATCATTTTGCTTCTATTAATTAATTCTTTGTTTACTAATCCCTTGCAATAGAGCTTTCTCAATGAAATATAACCCTGCTAATGGCAGTAAGAAAACCATTCAGCAAGTGCTGATTTTTATTCCATAGATGACTGGCCTCTGAACCAAGTTGCTGTCTTATTTTTCAGATCAAAGGCAGCTGGATCAAACCTGGTGCTGCAGTGATTGACGTAGGGACAAATGCTGTTGATGATCCTACTAGGAAGTCAGGATATAGGCTTGTTGGAGATGTCGATTTTCAGGAAGCATGTAATGTAGCTGGATGGATAACTCCAGTTCCGGGAGGTGTAGGACCGATGACTGTTGCAATTCTTCTCAAGAATACCTTGGATGGAGCTAAACGAGTTATCGAGAAGTAAACACTTTCTTTAGCTCTTTACACCTACTATAAGATGTCAAGGCTGCTAAGCTGCTGATATTTTCTTATACTTAAAGAAAACCATACATTTAGAGGTGGCACTTTCAATCGAGAAATAGCAACGAGACTGTTCCTGTGATGTGGAATTCATGTTGGGAATTCAAAGAGCTTCGCGAAATCTAAAGTTTTCACTAGAACTGGTGAAGTTAAGACACTTTATTGCTACGCTAGCCTAAGGTCTTGAACTACAAGATTTTAGCAGTTCTTTTTGCAATGTCACTTTGAAAATGCACTACATCTAACAAAAAAAGGATCCTTCTTCTATTACCAACTTCAAAGCCAAAATGTTTTTATAATAGTTCTTTTTTCTTTCGTTATTCTTTTCCACAAACTTATCGGATATGAACTCGTAATAATAATACAATTGTCCTTTGAAACCACCATCCTCATGACATATATGTAGTCTAGTGCTATTTCTTTTCTCGATAAAGATTCATCTTCATAAGCAAACTTCTATAACCACTTGCTTAATATGGCGTTGGTCAAATATATATATTGGGAATGTGTTTAACGTTTCATTAGAGTCTAGAAAGCTATTCTTGTTTTATTTTAGGATTTTGGTGCGTCTCTGGTTCTCTATTAGTATAACATTTTAACTATTAGTAGGATGACGTTTCTTTTTCCAATTAGCAAAGGGAAGTTTTGCATCAATAATAAAATTGTTTTCGTGTAACTTATAAGTTACAGGTTCGAGTTGTGGAATCAGTCACTTTGGATGTGACCCTTTCCCGAATCCTACGTGAACGCAGGGACTTTCTAATGGCTTAACTCGTGAGAATGTGGCTAGTCATTTGCAAAAGTATAGGCTATATTTAAAACGTATGCAGAGACTTTCTAATGGTGGCAGTGGCAATGGGAATGGAAGTATATCGGGTTTATCCGGGGGAGGGATGGTGGATACAACAACAGATCAACTGTTTGCTAGTTCACCAGTGCCTCCACATTTCTTGCATCCGGGGAGGGGTAATTCTGACCAGTATATGCCGTTCGTGCCAGTGGCAGCACTGCAGTATCATCATCAGATGGCTGCAGTTGTTGGACACCCTCCACAGCTTCAGCAACAGTATAGGCATTTTGGGTCGCCACCAAACCGGCAGTTTGAGGTTCCATTTTTGTCGCGGCAGTCGCAACAGCAGGTTCCATATTTGTCGCGGCAGTGCATAGTAGTAGTCCTATGGTGCCATCTTATGTTGAGGATTTGGAATCAGCTACAACTGCTAATGGGAGAAAGGTTCTTACTTTGTTTCCAACTGGGGATGATTAATATTAAGGGTAACTGTTGATTTGTCATTATGCAATTATCCTGTTAATTTGGCTTATGGATATATGTGGAAACTGTCTTCTGTATAATTCCCGAGTCTTTGATTTTGGACCTTTTATTGGATAAGTAGTGTTTCAGTTTTTAGTATCTCTTATGTATTGGTCCTTATAAGACTATGAATCCACTTTCCAGCCTATTACTGTCTTCAGGTCAAAGTCAGCTGTCACTACTACAAAAAAAGGCCTTTGGCGCTAATTATTTAGCGGCAATAAGGTAATTGTCGCTAATAAATTATTTAAGCTGAAATATTAGCGGCACATGACCATTAGCCAGTAAAAATTATCCTTTTACCGACAATAAAAAAAATTTATCGCTAAAAATCACTAATTGAAATCAATTTTTTATTATTTTAGCTTCCCCGTACAAAAAAAATAAAATCTTTCCCTCCAGTTTTTGGATAAGAAATTACATTCCCTCCAATTAGAAAACAATAGGAAAACATATTTCCTTTAATCTGAACGACGCACGCCATAGGAAAACAATTCGAAAGTGAGGCACGCCGTAGCAAAATCTACGTGCTTAACAATATCGCTGCCACAGTCTCCGCCCAGCCACGGTCTCCGGCCATCCCCAGGTAGCTTCTCTTCTTACCCAGCAAGTTTCTTGCAATCGATTTACAATTGATTTTGGGTTGATGCTGCTCAATTATGCTCAATCTTCGCTGTCAATCTTCTCTTTCTCGTCCGTCTCCAACTTCTTTTTTCGTGTAGGTTTCAAGATTGTTGCAGAAATCATTCTTCTCCTTCAATTTCTTGTCTTTATCGGCAAAAAATTCTGCTTACCAGGTATCAATTTCTAATTTTTGATATCCAAATATGGCGTTTTGAGATTTGTGAAAGTAAAGCTTTTTTTGTGTTTGCTAAGTTGTTTGTGATATCTGCCTGCTATTAGATTGATAGTCGATTGATTGAATTGATTCCTCCTCCGTTACTCTATTGTTTTTGAATTGGTTCCTTTGTATTTTTTTAAGGCTACTGCTAGGCGGAACTAAGCGAACAAGATTCTGGGTTGTGGCCTCTCTATTTTCTGCCTTTTTTATCTTCCTTTTCACCCTACCCTTCCTTTTATTGGATTACCCATATGGTCGACTTTTTCTTTAAATAGCAGAAATAATCATCCAAAGATAGAGATGGTCAAATTTCAGTTCAATTCATTTGCATATTCTGTGATTATAATATTCCAAATTCAACCATATCTTGAGGGATTGAATTGATTTTCTTATTTTCATATCTCTGTTATGAAAATTATTCTCAAAGTGGAATAAAGGACATCTGTTGCTAAATAACTGTTACATCTCATATTTTCGTACGTAAAAGTACGCCATAAGTAAATTGAGATAAGCTCGAAAATGAGATATTACATCCCGTATTTTCGTACGTTAAAGTTTCGTCGTAAGTTAATCAACGTAAGCTCGGGAATGAGATTATTTTTGAGGTTATAAGTATTATGCTATTTCAAACAAGTTCGTGAAGGTGAGAGGATAAGCAAGTCAAAGAAAATGAGTTTCGTTGGTGATTATCAATTTGGGATAAAAATACGGCCCGAGCTATAATATTCGGTATTTATGGACTAGTGCCATACAAGGTACCACATGACCATGATAGTATGATGTATAAAGTGTGTTAAAAGTAAGTAGTATTTTAAGTAATTTGAGATAATTCTTAATTATATGGGTAATTGGTTAATTATTGGGTAATGAAAAATTACCTAGTTAATTAAGAAATTGTTGGATGATTAATTAAGATCTTGGATAAAGCCTAAAAGGCCCCAACGTGGCAGCAAGTCAAATGGGGGTGATAAGTGACTCTTTGGTTTGCATACTATGTGGGAAAAATGATTGGCCAAGTCATCCACAAGAGTGGGGCCCACAGCCCCCAATTTAAAGAGACTTTCCCATATCATTAAGAGTGAAAAGCTTATGCTTGCTAAGCTAACAGATGAAATCTCAAAACAAGGAATTTATATGAAATCTTTAACAAAAGTAACGAATGAAGGCTTCAACCAATTCATATGGGAATTCATGTGGTAGTAACGTGATCTTCTTGAAACAAAAATTCAAACGAGATTTCTTAGTATCTTAAGCAACGTGAGATTTTGCAATAGCAGCGTTATTGAATTGCTCACATCTTAAGAAGAAAGCTTCAACAAAGATGATTCCGCAATAGCAACGTTATTGCTTCAAGCATTTCATACGAAGACTACTTAATATTATAGCAACGTGGGATTTGCGATTCTAAAAAAGCCCGGTACAATCTTTTTCAAGAATATCATACGGATTTTTCCCTACTTCGATCTCGCTGTTGCATGTTTTGTCGCGTTTGGCAGGTGTTAAAGGGATTGTCAAGAGAATCGGCTCAGGTATGTTAAGGCTATCCCTTCTTTCTTTTTGGTATGATCTATACAATGCAAACGAAACGAGCAAATGCACAACTTTCATAAATGACTCTATTCATAGAAGTACTAGAAGTACCTATGTTCTTGACTCCCCTGTGTCCTATTGTTCTATCATCTGTTCATGGGTCTCAGAAAATACGTAAGTTAATAAAGTTTATTTCATGATATTAATCAAAGGCATATTGGTCTTATGACATACCGAGAAGTCTTATTAACACACTTCTTATGCATTTCATGCATTTATACATGTATATTGACTCATGACCAGATGGCGTTATATACACATATATTATATGTATATGGGATATGGGAAAAGGTTACGGCATTATATACGCACCGCCACCTGATCAGCTGGTATACGTTGATGATTTGCCCATAGTGACCGAGATGATATGATGGGATGCCCTCAGAGGCTTGATGATGTTACGAACACATATACCTATGCATAGTATGGCAATTATACGCATATGCATGGCATTATAAATATAAAATAATTTACAGATCTATTCAGACTTACATGTTGAGTCTTTTACTCCATGTTTCTATATGTCTTTTATTTACTGATTTTCATTCCTTACATACTCGGTACATTATTTGTACTCACGTCCCTTTAGCCTGGGGACGCTGCGTTTCATGCTTGCAGGTCTCGATAGACAGGTTGCGAGTCCTCCAAGTAGGCTATCAGCTCAGCAGAAGGTATTGGTGCACTCCATTGCTCCGGAGTTGCTTATTTAGCCAGTATGATTAGGACATGTATTGATTGGTATGGCGGGGCTCTGTCCCGACCTTTATGGTGTTTATGTACTCTTAGAGGCTTGTAGACATATGTCATGTACGTGAAAGATTATATGGCTTTGTCGGCCTATGTTCAGTATATGAGTGATCATTTTGGTCTTATAGGCCCGTATGTCATATGTATAAGTTTGTATTACATGTTGGGTCGTCCAATGTTGAGTGTTTCCTCATGTTTTATTCTACTTATATCACGACAGACTCTCCAGCTCATTTATCTATGATAGTATGATACGAAAGATACGTTACGTTGGTACTCGTTTGAGTAAGGTATCGAGTGCCCGTCGCGGCCCATCGGTTTGGGTCGTGACAAAAGTGGTATCAGAGCAGTTCTGTCCTAGGGAGTCTACAAGCCGTGTCTAGTAGAGTCTTGTTTATGGGTGTGTTGTGCATCACACTTATAAGCAGGAGGATACATGGCATTTAGGACTGTCACTCTTTCTTCTATCGTGTGGTAGAGCTCATTTGTAAGAATTCAGACTCCTAAATTCTATTTTATTCGTAATAAGACGATACTTACATCCAAAAGACAGTTGGTAAGAGATTGCATGTGGTTGTAGAAGAGTTGAGTTAGAGGAACTCGATTTTGCATCATTCTTATGATGGATAAATGTGAGGTCTTCAGCAAAACATGTGTGTACTAAGACGTGTAAGGTTCTTGATACGGAGCTTTAAGGCATGAATATCGATCCACCCATATGGTAAAATGCAATGAGAGAATAATAAGGTAGATACAAGTTTCAACAATGTAAAAGAAACAAGGTGAAGAAGGGTACAAGGTACCCAACTAGTGAAGATTATCATTATTTACCATTCAGGAAGGGAGATATAAGCATTTTGAGTTACCTTCAAGAGTAGCAGCGGTATGTACAATCGGCCACACCCATCTCAGTTATGCCCTATGGAATCTAACAGATATGGTTTAAGAGAAGGATGAGATATCAGGATCCGGCTAGGGTTAGAGTAACCCAAAAGGATGGACGAATTGTTTGCGTCAGTTGATATTTCCGAAGGATATTGCAAATGTGCTAATAGATCTCCTTGTGAGATACCCAGATGGTGCACTCTAGAATAGTATAGCTAGATATGAATACTAGAATGTTCAACAAAAAAATTTACAAAGATAGGCATTGGAAGCCTAGAAGGGATAAATATTACCTTAGTGTGGCTCCCGTCCCTAGTAGAGAGAGAATGTTAGGCAACCCGAAGAGCCAGTGGATGGAGCAAAGGGGAGCTAAAAGCAAAAGGATGTCTTGTTGAAGTTTTTAGAATAAGGTGATAAACAGAAATGTTAGCATGGAAATAAGAAGAGAGTTAATGAAGCATTATGAGTAAGATGTGATACATGGATGACAACGGTAGATAAAAAAAAATGACAGTAATACAGAGTCTATAGTCAACGAAAGGAAAAGATGAGAGGTGACAGGCCTTGAGACAACAAAAGAGTATAGGCCATAAAGTCATACCCTAATTTCGAGAAATAAGTTCATGGCTCTAACGTGATTACCAACAGGAAAAGTTAGACCCAGAGTGATAGAAATTAGTATGGGCTGGTGAACAAGATGAACTAAACATGAATTAGGGACAGAGTGATTTAATAATAGTCGGCATCATGAGAATTTTAGAGATTGCATTCCGGCGATAATAGAATGGACGACAGAAGAATAACCTTTAAAAGGTATTCAGGAAGACGCTTTCCTAAAGCAAGCAATGTGAGCAAAGTTAAGCTTAAGGGACGATGTGTGCCAGTTACACTAGGTGTCACCCTCGTGAGTAAGGAATTTTGTTATCCTTGGTACAAGAGGATTACCGCAAGGCGGGTAAGGGTCATCGATGATGTGAAAGGACGCCAAAGATGAAGAGGTAAAATATCTATAGGTAGATTGTCGTAGATCTAAATATTAGTACTCCCCTAAAGGGGGAATATGGAGTTATGTGGCATTAAGTCAG